ATATGCACCCCCTTGCTATCTTACAAAATAAAAGGGTCACATACATGAAACTTGCTCCATGTATTGGTACAAGTCCTACAACCATACCCGAAAAAATGCTTGAGGGTGGGATTAATAAAAACATCTTTTTTGGGGGGGGGGGGGTGCTTTTTACGGCAGGCACCCGATATCCCCGGGATTAACAGAAAAACATTTCACCTAATAGGATAATCTAATTTGAATAAAACCGGGATGCTTTAACCTTCAACACTTAATTTGAGAAATGCATACAAAAAGTCACTTATTGGGAACATTTATATAATTTATTCTAATTAAAACACCAAAACATATTGAACATCACAACAACCAAGAAACAAGTAAACAAATAAATACTTTCAAAACTAAAAGTGCACTCAGTACCTGCATAAATTGTTGAATATAATTAAGATGGTTGAATCCACACATAAAACACAGATTCATTGAACAAATGAAGAAACAATGTGTGGATATGAAGACTGAGCTTTTAAAACGAGTTTAACAATCAGTTGCAAGGGTTGAAATGAGAGTGGACAGTTAATGATGGTTCCTTTGGGCATTATGTGCATCCAGGTCACAAGTACTGTTGATCCACTGGAGGCCTTTGTATACATTGGTGGTGGTACCTCCGCCGACAAATGTCACAGCAAACCTGAGAAAACAGTAAATACTTGTTATGTAAGGTATGCATTATGGGGTTTTCATGATAATAGAACATCTCAATGTATTTACCACTAACATTCTAACCATTCCTTCAATTATCGAAATCTTTGAAAAACATAAATGTTGTGTTATGAGAAAGAAACACATTTTCAACAAAAATGTATGGAAAAACCAACCATTAACACTGATCTTTATCAGTTAGTGGCTAGAAGATGCCCAAATCTAATCTCCCAAGTCTTATGTTCTGTTTTTTTTTATTTCGCAATGTGCAATAGGAATTACCCATGTTCTTTCATCCTGCTTCCTCATCTCCGCGTAAAAGGCAAGCCTGCTTACTACTCCTGTTCAGAAGAAACAAAATAATACAAATACATATCAGATAAAACCACATTGCAAGATATATAGAAGAGAGTCAAGTTGCACATATACAATAGATATACAGACTAGATAATCATATATGATTACATCATCATCTGCCCTACTTACCGCTACCTTCTAGCGCCTCGCCTCGTCCTCCAAATTTGCTAAGAAGCAGAGGGGCGGCGGGGGGGCTCCGGGTGATCCAGCGCGGCTACTGGGCGACGCCCGACTCCGCCGGAGAGGGCTCGCGCGCGCGACGCGGAGGCGGCTGCCCCCCGCGCACTCTCTCCTGCCTTGCCGGCTTCTCTGATTGCCTTTCGCTGGCTTTTATTATTATGAGGCTCACTTTTCCTCTGTTCTGACGAGCTTTCTTCTCTCCGCTCTCTGCACGCGCACATAGGGCGCCGTCTCTGTCATCCTGTCCTCTCTCGCGTCTCGCATTATCATCTTTCAATCTTTCGTTTGCTGTCTTCGTCTCTTCTCTGCCTCTCGCTGCTCTTTCTCTCTGTGCTCGCTCGTGTTTTTTCTTTTTTTTTTTTTTTTTTTTCTCCTGCAGGAGGCTCTCAGCGACTCTGAAGCTGCTCTAAGTTAAGGAGGAGAGGAAAGTGTGTTTCAGTAACTTTCATCTCCAGATAAGGTTTGTCCTCTCGTTTATGAAAATCGTAAGATCTACCGCTAAAGATGTAGTGTAACTGCTGTGCCAGTGTGTCCTGCAAGCGATGCACACCAGAAGGCTTCTAACATTGCATGAGCCAGCGAGGAGATGAGAGGAAATGCAGCAGTGGTTTTTCGGGGATATCTGTCTTGCGCCGCTGTGTTCGGCGTCCCAGGATCCCTCGGCCACTGCATCCAGGACCGGACCGGGGTCCATGCGGTGGGGAAGCGGCTCCTCCTTCATGGCAGGGCCCCCCGGGGGAGGCCTGTACTGGATGGAACATCAAAAAACTTCTGGATCTTCACAGAAAACAAGAAGAAAGAAGAACCCGCACGAAGAATACATCCTCCCTGCTCGTACCAGACACTCAAAGCCAAAGGACCACCTGGATCTAAGTGGCAGGAAACAGCGCTGGCAGAAAGGAGGAGGAGGAGGAGGCGGAGGAGAGGGAGGGGAGGAGACTCCCAACCAGTAACCACGGGTCCTGATCCAAAAAGAGCCCGCGATCTCCTGTGGGTTGTCTCCCGGGTGGTTTACTTTAGATGCCCCGCTGTTTAGAGCAGGTCTTTAAGCGCTGGAGTCTAGAGGAGGAGACGAGAGCCGCGGTCTCCGGCGCGCAGGGAGACGGCGAGGGTTCAGCCGGGAGAGGCAGAGCCTGGCGCCGGACGCGGCGACGGAGAGGAGAGCCGGTGGAGACGAGGAGGACTTTGCCCAAGTAACCAGGGTCACGATCCAGAGGCAGAGGAATCAGAGGGCAGAGAGCAGCCGAGCAGGAGGAATGAAAAAGTGAGGATAACAACAACAAGCAGCAGCTTCAAAAGGCGAAAGTCAACATGATCGACCTGATCAAACCAACGAGGGAGGGACGGGACGGCTGGCCGGGGGGTGGGTGGGGGAAAGAACGCTCATCCGCCCCTCCCATCCGCCCCGGTCTCGTATGGCTCCCTCTGTCCCGGCGGAGAGCTTCCTTCTCCCGGGGTCCGGAGCGTGCGAGGTTCCCCCGGCGACCTGGAGCAGAATAAGTCGGGCGTGGCGTCAGTGCCAAAAAAGGACTTTAGGTTTGCACTACTCGGTCGCACCTCCAGCGGTGTGATTGGTGGAAACAGCGCTTGCGTTCATCGGTGCGCTTCTCCCAATAAGGGGTTTCCGCGTGTGGGATGCAAAAAGAAGTTGATGAGCACGGAACAGTGATTCATAACATTTCATTCCACAGGGGTGACATGTGGACCTTCTGTCATGGTGCGAGAACCGTCTTAACTGGTTTTCATCAAAGAGTTGATTTCACTGCTGAACTCTGAATTTGATTCCTTCTCCGCGTTCCCTCACACACTTCCTACAGAATTGGGGGGTTAACTGGTTTCATGTGGAATAATGCTCCCCCTGTCACCTCCTGGGCTGACTCGACCAAGCGGCGCGTGCATTTGGCACCATATGAACTCTCCTCCTCTCACACACACACACAACACACACACACACAGCACACACACACCCACACACACACACACACACACACACAACACACACACACACACAACACACACACAGCAGCACACACGTCCCTCTCTCTCTCTCTCTCTCTCCGATCTCTCCTCTCTCATCTTCTCCCCCATCTCTCTGCCCTCCTCTCCTCTCTTCCTCCGTCTCTCTCCCGTTCTCGCTCGGATCTCTTCTCGTCATCCTCTTTTCGTCTGTCGTCCTCGTCTTCCTCACACACACACACACACACACACACAACACACAACCACAACACACACACACACACACTCACACACACACACACACACAGAGCCTCGCATCAGTAACACAATAACAGGTCAGTACACCGGAGTCTCTTCTGTCTCCTGGTCATCCCTCTTGATGGTTTTCTTTTTCTTTTGGGTGTTTTTATTTCTTGAATCTCCGGCAGTACATCTGTTGTGTCATGGTTCGTCGCGCAGGAGCAGAATTCCCTCTAATTAAAGCACAAACTGCCAGAGCAGCATCGAGTAAATACTTTACTCTGTTTAGCCTACACCCTTCCTCCAGCGCGGACATCAGAAACCGTCTGGAAAGCTGGAACATATTTCATGTGCGTGGAGAGAAGAAGTCATGAGATGTTGGAGAGGGAGGAGAATGAGGAGGAGGAGGAAGAGGCAGGGACAGCCACGCACACGGCAACCAGCGCGTGGCAGTTGATTATTCCCGACAACATCGACCTGAACATTGTTCGTTTCAGTGGTTCAGTGGAAGGCTTCTGGTAAATACAGAGCTTTCAGTTCGAGGCTCAGTCCTTGAGAGTCTTTCTTCCCGCGTGCCCGGTGTGAGTCTCAAGCCACATTGAGGCCAGCGTCTTCCCACTCACTAACATGTTTGTCATTTAGGTATCTCAAATATAAAGTTACTTTAGAGATATATTTTCATTCTTTAATCTAAAGCTTATTTAAAAACCATGATAATACAATTTTACTTTTGGTGATCCTTCCTCTTCGTATGACCACACCTGATTATGGGCTCGCTCAACCAGTGGAGACGTGATTCAAATAACAACCCCTTAAAATCCCTGTTAGAGACCCCCTTTAATATAAGCGGATTATGGTGTGCTCCCTTGCAAACCCTTAACAACATCTGGGAACCTCCTCTGAAAACCCTTACTCTGATGGGAGGCTCCCATGAAGCCTGGTGTTGAAACCATTAAAATTATACCTTTAAAGTTATCGCCTTTAAAGGCTCTTTATATCCGCTCCAGATTCTTCTGATTCCCCTTAAACATCACGCCAGATTCTCGCTAAGAAATCTTGGCAAGTCTCGCTGGAAGCATAATTCTAAAGGCGCGAGCATGCATAGTGGATTCCTTGAAAAGCCCTTAAAACATTCAAAACCTTTATAAGAACACTTAAGTCTCTCCGCGGACACCGCCGCTAAAAAATAATCACATTCAAATATTCCTCCTTAAGATACCACATAAAATATCCTTCTAACAACTAATAAAGAACTGNAAAAACGTCTTTTTTTTAAGGTCATACGTCAAACGCGTCATATTACATCACACAGGGGACACATCTCCGCTCTCTGACCGCGGGTATAGTAGAACGCAACTCTACTATACCCGCGGTCAGAGAGCGGAGATGTGTCCCCTGTGTGATGTAATATGACGCGTTTGACGTATGACCTTAAAAAAAAGACGTTTTTAAGAGCAGAGCTCAAAATTGCTCCTTTCCCTCTGAATTCCTGCCCACACACACACACGCACGCGCACACACACACACGCACACACACACACACACACACACACACACACACACACACACACAAAGAGAGAGATAGAGGGAGTTGTTTTTCTCCAAACACTTCAAATAAAGAGATAATGTGTGAAAAAACTCGATTTCTACTTCAAAATAAATATGATTACAATCAATTTATCCATAGCACCATCACTGTTTAAAATGTCTAAAACTTCAATATGTTCATAAAATGTTTGTGAAAAATATGATTTTACAGAACCAGGCTGAGAGAAAGGGACACTATACATTTGTATGTGTCAACGCTGGAAAGTAAGTATACTTTTTATAATGTCAAAAACAATTAAATAAAAAAATATTGCAACTGAAGCGTGATGAAACTGGGATGTGATTACAGCCTCTTTCTGATGTGTACAAAATATATACAACCCCCCTTAGTTTAATCTTCTTAAAAGCCTTACACCAAACTCACCAACAGCCTCATAGAACTGCATGTGATGTAATTATTATTTAATTATGTTTTTAAGCTTTAGGATGACAATGCTGTTGCTTATGATTCAAGCAGATTCTTGCTCCTGATACCAAAGAAAAGGAATACTGATCCACGTCTCTCATGGTTGTCAGAGGATGTGTTTGTCTTTTCATAACACAGCGACACTGGATCCTCAGAAACCTGTTGAGAAAGTCAGAGCCCTCTATGGTCAATTAATGTGGCACCACTCTGGATGTCAAAAAGTAACATCTAAAACAAAGTATCCCATATTTTAAGACCATCTTCTCTTCTAACGGACACTCTAAAGACACCTCTTGAGTCAGCTCTTGATTAAATAGATCTGTGGATCAATCTTTCATCCACAAAAACATTTTTTAAATGACTCGAGGCAATTACTGCAGAGTTTGCCAAAGGTCTCATCTCTCTTTCTCTTTCCATGCTCGATCTCTCTAGTGCTCCTTCTGCTTTCCCTGCTTGCATCAGTCACATCTGCCTTTGTGGAGTGAATTAGTAAAAGACTGCTCTAATAAAAAAGCAGCCAACCGGAGCTGACAGATTGAATTAATAAGCAACATAATCATAGCTGATCTGTAAAGT